TATAATAGTTGGGTCTGAGTCCTGAATGGGTTTTATTATTTCGTTGGCAATATGGAGAGCCATTATGCTTCGGTAAGAACGGGCTGGCTGAAGCAAAGTGATCCTATGGTCTCGTAGAAAACCGGCGTGAAACAACGTGCCGGCTAGGCCATACCTAGCCTTTAATTCTTCTTACTGCATCCTGGGCTTAAACTTATCGCTTGTTATAGTATTTGTTGCAAATTGACATAGGATGAAATATGAATTTCAGATTTAAAGGAGTTACTAAAAGTCATTACGCTTCGTATGTGGTTCCGACCTTGATATGTACCAAAATCATCAGAATATTTTGTCAGAACGACGATATTTCTTTTGTAAACCTTTTTGCGGAGTATTCTTACTGGGCAAAGACGAGAATAATAAAAATCTTTACAAAAGGATAACTCACAAAATCGCATAGGTAATGTAGGTACACCTACCATACCGTACTCACACTAGGTACCTACTTATTTGAAAGCGCTAATGCACATTGCGGTAATCCAACCGGGAACCACAGTGTACCAACCAACACAGATATCGAGCTCTTTGAAACTCGATGCTCCAGTGTAAGCCGCTCATAACTGGAATTAACCGGCATTTACCGGTGCATTGATACCGAGTCTGTTAGCGAAACGGTTTATCGACTCTTTAAACGAACAGATTTGTTTGGTTTATTACTGAAAGGAGTAAACTTATCCGCGGATTAGGATGCTTTTCTATAAACTTAAATTTAATCCATCTATATCTACCTCTACCTCTATAATAGGTAACTGTCTAGTTTCATTTATACATGAATATCACAGGTTGGTTCTAGTGTCGCGCTGACCGCACGCTGACCGTCGGCGCTGACAGCTGAAAAATATAACTTTTAGGGGTCCATAGAATTATGGCCGGTTAGCTATTAGCGTTATTCAAAAACGCTACCTAGAAGTTCAGGCATCTCGGCTATCAGCGCCGACGATCAGCGTGCGGTCAGCGCGACAATAAAATTCGAAAATGCACAGCATAATCTAAAAATTTGGAGTGTCTCTTAATATCTATATATTTCAAACAGTTCTGCTGCAGAACTATCTGTATGATTCTATTCGAAAACCACATAATCATATTTACGATCCATAGAAAGTTAGTCTGCATACACACTGCGTTCCCGTAACACAAGTACTGCATGGGTAAACAGCTTACGAGAGCTTTACCGTGCTCACTCGTTATGATACAAGTACTTACTGATGTTATAAAACGGTTTAAAACTGCATATGTGAGAATTTATTCATACATTTAAAGATACCTGAGATTACTCAGATGAAATGCCTTTTAAAAGATTTATGCAGCGATGAGTTTCAGTGGTTAAGTCTGAATGCAACGCGTTTGAATTCAATGCTACGCTCAAGTGATGGAGGTTTTAAATGAGGATGGAGGAGGATACATACTGAAGTAACCTAGACATAAATAATCGTAAGTTTAAATTTGTATTTTTGTGTTTTTAAGAGATATAGATAAAGGAAGTTTAAGTAGAAAGAAAGGTAACTGATCTGCAGATAGTGTCATCCGTTGTAATTCGAATTAAAGGGGTAATAAAAATCTCTCATTATTCATTCGGAATTGAAAATTAAACCAGAACTACTGTTAACTATATTTTTTGGTTGAGCAGTGGAAGGATCTTTGCCATACAGTAGGACGATCATGGCTGAAAATAAAATAAATACTGTTAACCGAAGTACTACTCGTGAACAGCATTTTCAAACCCTCTTCACTACAACAACGTCCTTCCTCCTTCACGTTACCGTCTCCAATTTTCGTCACAAAAAAAAAAAACAAAAACAATCTCCCCTACATTTAAAAAAAGTTCAAAACCATGTCCAGTACATGTCAAGGCTAATGTACTAAATTATAGGGTGGACTTTGACATGCTTTTAACACTACAATGCTTTCTTAGCTACTGGTCCCTGGTCCAGTATAAATATTAAATGATTTAAACGCGACGAAGCACTCTGAAATAGTCGTGTAATGGCGTTGCTGTCACCTAAAACTTTGCTCTGAACATTTTAAAGCAATTATCTCACGCGCTCAGGCTCGCCCGAGTTGTAAAGTATTAATTTTAAATGGTATTAACTTATGTACCTGGTGGTTTGTTGTGTAGTGTAGTGTATTATGTTTTTTGAGGTTTTCTTCAGTTTCTTTATACCCGACTGTATGAAGGGTATCGTTTTTCAGTTTTCATTATGGATAGAAGAAGAACCATGTTAGTCCTTATGGATAGTCAAGTGTTAAACATCCATTTAATACCAATATTGTTGAATGAGAATTTTATAAAATGTTAGGTTTACTCCAAGTGCTAGTAATTTTTTTATAATATTGTAGGTACTTATCTGCAAATGTAATTCTTCTTTCTTAGATGGCTTTCGAAATGAATAATGCTTGCACCATATTTTCAAAACCTGCTGTAATTTATTACACAAAGTTTCATTTCATTTGGTATGAGAAAGAAAACCTTCTCATGTTTTTCTATTATGCTTTTATAAAACCAAATTTGCTAAAAATATCCCTTGTTTTTAGAAGCTAAAACGACTGTATCCCCATATGTTTTCCTCAGATTTAAAAGAAAAGATTTGAAAATGTGAATTCAGTATAGACGCATAATATAAATCATGCTAGAATTCCAATAGAATAAATAGCTCCAGGGAGTTACAAATCACGTTGTAAAATACAACCTTTAAAATATTGTGTTGGCAGCTAGGTGTGTCGTTTTTGTTCGTTTTAGTTCGTATATCTAAAATGGAAGTAGGTCAGGGGCTGGATTCACGTTACAGTATTTCTCTGGTAAAACCATTTTCAATGTTTTTGGCAATACCATTGTTTCAAACTTTGTGATTTTGGTCCGATGTCACTTTGTTCCATTTTATGGTAAAATTGTTGTGCAGGGAATGGCTTTATGGCGCAACGATGTTTTTTGTTGTGATGCTAACATCTACAATGCATAGGTACGCTTCGTAATATTTTTCTTTAAACATCTGCGTCTCTGGAAAAATAAAACCGAGACTAAAGCCGACAGGAACAAAACGGGATCTGAATAATGAATTTTCTTTTTTATTCGAATCAGTTTTTCATAAAATGTCGAATGGACACTAAGACGACACCAAATGAAGAGAGCTGTAACTTTCTTGTTATAAAACATTTTTTTAAATCTAGTCCTTCCGTATTATAAATAACGCTGTATAGTGTATATTAAAATTAGGTACATTACAAAATTCGAATCAAAGCGCTTAACAGTTCTAGTCGTTAAGCTCTGTTCGTTTAAGAATCGCATCAAAAGCAAAACTTTTTAGTACACGACTCGTGAAATGACAAAATCCTGTAACCCGTATTCGGGCGGATGGTATCGCCGTTTGTATCGTTTTGTTCCATTGGATTCGTCCAACTTTAGTGCTATCGATTGCCGATATGAAGTCATGTAAACGTCAATCGCCAAAAGTCACGCGCTGAAGGTCTAAAAACAAAAAGTGCTCACAAACTGTGAAAGGCAATTGAAACACGCTCGTTGGGAATGTAAAACGGCCCTCTGCCTGCGAAATAAAGATAAAACGAAACTGTAGTGTCGAAGTTTTGATGTTTTAACATTTGCCTAGCTACCCACGTAGCTTCATATGTGAAAGGCTATAGTAATACAATTTTTAATTCGACTAAAGAGATTTTGTCTGAAATTGCTTTTATAATTTTTAAACCCGGTCAAATGTTGACTTAAATTTAATTACATGGATATCTTGCAAAGGAAATAAATAGGTTATGAGATTCTCATAATAAAATTAATACCTGTAAAGCAGAGATCCTGACCTCACTAGTCGTGTCGGAATGCCGTCCCATCGGATTCTGAGAGTAAGCACTCAGAAATCCGCAGGCATGCATAGACACTTCAAAATAAATGAAATAGTAACATTTTACGCCCTATCTGTGTTACATTTCTGCCATACAATTTTCCTACAAAAAAATATACGCGTCTAAAACAATATCTACTTACAATAGCGTCCTTTGGGAGCACATTGTCCATTTGGTAACGCGTCCGACGAATCAGGCGTTATTGTACAGCTATCTTAATTGCGAGGCCCAAAACATCCGGCTGTTTAGGTCCTGTCATCCGACGAGATACCGTCTGTACTTTTCTTTTTGAATTTCACCAAAATAAATGTTTGGTATTGGAAGCGGAACTTTTTTTGCTGTAAGGCTGATACGAAGCAAAGGCTTTTGTTGAATCTGTGGCGATTTGCGTGTGCTTACGCTTTCTTACCTACAAATATTTTTGAGACACTTAAAAGGAAGAGTGAAGTTGTGTTTTAACGTGACTATGTTTTGATTAAGGAACAACTAGTGGTAACTATGGCATATGGTGCTGGTGAATGCCCTAACTTTGACAAGGTGCCCAGCGGTGGGCACTTATAGGCTGCTATTGATCTTGATGATGATGTAGGGGTTCACTGTTTGTGAATGATTATATGTTTTATTGATATCGTTACAATATATATCGCTAGTGTACTTAAAAACAAAGATATTAAAGTCGTTTTGGGTTCTATAAATTTCGAATAACAATGAGTTCAACGCTTTTCTATGCTTATATGAAATGTGTGATATGCCATTTAAACTGATATGACAACTACATCACCTGCTTTGCACAGCATTGTTTGCTGCACAGAGAAAGGCTTACAGTATCAACGAAAATAATCACAAACAACCACTTGTAGCCAATTATATAATAGACGGTGAAACTTACTCAATGGTATTCAAAGATGGAGTTAGATTCAACTGAGAATATTCAAATCGATAATTTTTTTTTTTAACTGATCGGCTTGCAAACTCTATTTACCCCACCGACAGTTACTAAGTACTTAAATACTGCTTGATATATACGAAACTTGAGCTAATATGCTTTCTACGTAAAACGATGCGTTTTGAAATGCTTGGCTTTATGTGTAAATGCTTACTTTCTTTTTCAGATTACCTGCTTCGCTTCGTCAAGTTAATTTCTTCATTGTATGGATGTAAGTGCTTTTTAATGCTACTATAGTTTAAGTGTGATCTTTCAATGTGTCCCTTTCTACTCTAGTATCCGTGTCGGCGTCCGCGTGGATGTGAATCGATTCATCTTGGACCCAAAAAAGGTGTTTGAAGAAATATTTATAGATCCTTATTAGCTTATGATTTAAGTTTCATTGAAGATGTTTTTTATTTTTTTCCATTCATCTATTTAAAGTTACGGCAAAAGTAAATACATTTTAATAATCTCACGAATAATAGGTACCTATCAGCACTCAGTTTTGAACAGGATCGATAGGAAACTTTCAATGTGAACCTTAAATTCTATTGTTTGTTAGGCCATTGTATGAAAACGGCGGAGAAACAAAGGATTCAGAAGTGGATATCGATTTAAAAGAATCGCGTGTGGAAAACTCCTTAACTCCTTAGCTATAAGCCAACAATTTTATGGTTATTTTAACAAACATGTTAAACAGAGGTGAACATTTGAAGATATTAAACGTAACTAGCACTTTTCAATAATTGTTGTAATAAGGGATGCTGTTTCTACGATTTCAAACTCTTCAAAATCGCAACACTGTTCGGATCCCGATATCGAATCAGACACTCAGTTCAACGAACTAACAAACTACAAAAAATTCCATGTCACCCGTTGAACTGTAAATGTGCACTAACGATGCACTACAATACTTTTTTGTTGAACGAATAACGAGCATAGAAAATAAAAATATATGTGTAAACCTACACCTGTACGCAAAAATTGAGCCCTGTTGTTTTATTTTTACGTTATGTTTGTCCAATACACGGTCATACACCCATAGGCATTCTGGCATTCATGCAAACGAGAATGGCCGAATTCAAAATAATAATTTAAGGCTCGTTAGGCAACCGATCGATGTTTGCAAAAACAAATGCCACCACAGGTACCCTAGTCGTACTATTGAGTTTACTAATCCTGAAATTCCGAGGCAGAACCTGAAACCACACCTAATATAGGACAATTTTGACACTCAATATAATGGGGCTGATAACATGTATTAATACGGTGGCCAGTGTTCACTTTACTTACATTCTTTTCAGGAAATTTCAAATATTTACTCTCAAAGTCGATGAACCCATCGATCATTTTCTAAGATGTATTTCTGTTTATTTACTTTTTATCCTGACATGTTTCTCGGAATCGTGTGACTAATTCCATTTGTTAGGCGAGTGCCTATTATCTTAAAGTCGTAATTCCTTTGGCAAAAACACTTTCTTGAGGCATTCCACATAACGAGTGTTCCAACACCGTCTTACATTATTTCTTCTCCTTTGTAATGAGCTCTTTAGGTCCGAACAGGTTTTTGGGTCTTCTCAATTCCAGGGGATGATTACTAACCTGTTTTATTACTGGACGTATTCGGTTTATGATAGCTGCTCTAATCTGTAATTACTTTTCTTCTAAAATAGCACTTTCTTTGGTTCTCTTTCGCTCATATCTTTGGTTAGTATTTGAGTCGTTCATTTATTTGATTCGTGTAGTTTTAATTGCTAAACGCTGTATAATCTTCATATCATTATAGTTTAGTGATTTAGCTAAACTTATTTTTATTACAATTGTAGCTATGGAGCGTCGTTGTGGTAAAAATACACTTCAAATCATTTAAATGCATCAACTCCCCTTTTACTCACGAAATTGTTCTTGAAAATTAAACCATTGAAATATTGGTACAAAGGAAGGCATAATTCGTCTATGGAACGGAAATTTTCAGGTCAGGTGGGGTTGCTTGAATCGGGGTAATTATGTGGCGTGCGTGTCGGCAGCCTTATCTCAGTCTTTAAAATTATTGGAACAAGTTGCGGGCGGACACAATGGCGGCTTGGGAGCCCCTAATTTGGAGTGAAAGGCACAAGGATACTAAAGATTTTAAGCACAAATGTGATAAAAATAAGTAGAACTCCATACGCTCAATAAACAAAGTCTACATGTCCCAATAACCTGAAACAGCTATCTAAGGGAAATGTAATCAAAACCGTCTTACAGAACCGCCGATCTTCCCAATTCCAATTTGCTTGTGAACGATAAACAAACCAAGACAATGCTGAAATGAGAATTTTATTACATTTTTCGGATAAATAATTCCCAGAGAATCCCCCAATGAAATCGTGTCGTGCCCTAATGAAGTTAAGATTAAACTCGCTCGCCACTTGCCCTTTGCGTCGGAAAAAGGAGTGTCTGCTGAATTCGCCTCCTCCCAAAAAAGGGACGATTCCGTTCATTATAACAGCCACGTCTTAGCAATTTTAAAGACACCTTTTAAGAGCACTCCAACTTAGTGCTATTTTTCGGCGAAATTGCTTTCGATAGATCCTTCCTTCCCCATTGTACGATCTATAGTTAAGTATATCTGGCTTTGCCATTTATCAGCCTATTCTTGAGGGCGATTGTCACGATTCTTTTGTCTCACGTGAGGTAACCTTCTTTACGCTGCTTCCTTTCCTTCGGCCACTGTGATTTATGGTTCATGCGCTCACTTTTATGTCCATGGTATATTTATTACGGACCATTTCGCTAACTGCATTTGTTTTTATTTTGATTTAAGACTGAGATGGTGGCGACAGTGTAAAAGATTCCAATTGGATTGATTTCACTGTTCTTTCCTTCTTCGGTTCAGTGAACCTAAAGTTGTGGTTATTTATTAACAATTTCATAGATAAAATAAATTGCCTTTAAAGTGTCTCTTGTCAGCAAAAGTTTCTGGGCAAAGCTGGCGACAATGACTCATGAAATTAGTTCCACGAAATGTTAATATTATTTTTGGTACTTCGGGAAAAGTAAAAGTGAAAGATAACAGTGATACGTTGTGACAGAAACATTCCTATTTTCTGTATATTTCGCGTTTGTATCCAAGACAATTCGTATTCCACCAATTCTGAACATAACGCCCATACGAATTGCTAAAGATTTGCTGGTGCGTCGTATAAAAACAAATAAAACCGTACGATTGGGGAGAGTGTGAGTCACCCCGACAGCTGACTAACGATAGATACACCCTCCTGTACTCACCCTACGTATTTCGATTACTTGGACAGACGTACGGCACTAAAATTAAACTTGACCTTTTTGGAGGAATACATTATTAATATTCATGAGATTTGTGTCGTTATTGGATATTTTAGTCTAATTGTTTTTTAATGTTGTGAAATACTGTTAGGTTGGTGCAGTATTACTTACTATACAAAGTATAGGTTCCATTCTACTAATAAAAAAAGACACTTTGTCTGAAGCAATCAAAACAAACTTCTGTAATTTTCTGGAAATGCTTTTACCAACTTTAGAATCCAATGTCGACGAAGTAATGCTGAGAAAAAGTTTTTCTCTTATTTGAAGTATGCTATACATACATTTTTAGCCTACTACCGACGCCGATGCTATGAGCGTTGTTAAAATAAAATTTTATTAAGATTCTAACAAAAATCAAACTACGAACATAGTTTAAAAACGTCGCGGTTTTAAAATTCTATACGACCGGTATAGAATTTAATTATTTCATAGTAAAAGAACACCAGCAAAACCTCATACCGATATCTCAAAGCATAACACTGCACTATTATTGTGCTTGCAGAATAGTTAAAATTCTCTGAAAAAAAAAAGTACAGCGTGCAGGAAATTTTCCGGGACCATATTTTTCCAAGCATAAAGAAGCTAGCACGACAGGTACGCGAAGACATTACATCTAAAACCCAATTTACTTTAAAATGGCTAGCGAAAATAACTTTGCTGGTTTAAAAAATACTCTTACAAAATGTACCATCTAAATAAAAATCGTGGTGAGGAAATTTGCTTTCCCCACATTTTTAGCTTGGTGCTCTTCCTCACTTCTAGATTTTTAATGCAAAAAATTTAACACTTTATGAAGCGTTGGTTAACTACCTGAATGCTTTGAAAGAGTTTTACATTGCGGATGTTAAACAGCCTGATGAGAAGTTGCATTAAGTTTGAAGATTGTGGAGAGGATTTCGTGGTTGTTCTCCGGCTTATGTAATAACCAGGAACATGCAGAGTAATGATCACTTGATAGACATACATTTTGTAGATAGTAGCAAAAATGGAGGAAGGAGGGTCAGATTATAAGGTCATTTGTTTTGTGATCGATTGGTTCATTGTAAACGAATGATTGAAATAAATGTAACTAGCTAAAATTAGACCTGACTCTTTAATTCTGGGCACCAAAACAAAAGAATAAAGTTATAACCCACTTCAATTCATGATAGTATTCGACTAATCGCTGTACTAGATGAAAAGTTGGCCCGATTGCCGTTCAATTTGCTCGTGAAAATTGTAATTCAATACGCAGCTGCACTTCCGAGGAATGAAAAGCCTTCGCTATGCAAAATTCATTTATCACGGATCCTAGATACTTGATAGAGCCGAGGTGTCACTAATGGACTGGAAGAAGTGAAATGTCGACACTACGATATTATCTTAGAAGAAAAATCTGAAATAAAATACTTTTAAGTCAATTTGTAGGCAAGTAATAATAGTGAGAATTTCATAGAATTGTCACAAATGAAATAGATGAAGGCTAGTGATACTTTTTTCTTTTGTAGTTGATTGCCGTATTAGGTTACTATTTCTTCTTCGTCTTCCATATAGACGTCGGGTATTGCTTGTTGATTTAATTAGGTCATTTCGGTTTGGTAGTCTTATCAGCTACAAAAATCTCGATAGTTTTCAATTTCGCAACTTTTTGAGACGTTGGCTCGACTTTTATCCTATTTAGGACAAACATTATGCAATTTTATGTTATAAAAATATTGTTAAGCACAGTATCGGTCATTGTTCAAGAAATTCGATTTCAAAACACTCTTCATGACTTTTGATCAAATTGTCTAGCATCATGTTGGCTTTCAAACCCAATTTCGTATTTGAAGTAATTTTGATTCATTGGTTTTCTTTTGTTATTTTTCCATCTGCGATGCTATCGATTTGTTTGAAACTCGTCTTAGAATTGGAACAAAACGC